TATTATGAATTGTCGGCCAGATTCTACATGGAAGCTACCCACGCCTAAAACTTGGACACGGTACTCAAAGAAGAAGATAAATGTTAACTTAAAGAACTACACAATAATATGTTTCATTTAATTTGTATGAATGCAATATAAAGCATTTTTATGAAGAACATTTATTCGGAACACACTGTAACCGTAATCGAACGAAGGTGATATTTTGGCATAAATTGGTAACACTTATTTGACAGTTGCGGTGTTGACACTTTTTGTACTTTATTATTTTGAATTTTAAAGTGAATACCTCTTGGTTTATATTTTTACCTATATAATAAAATCTGTTCTTTTTAGAACAAAATTAGTGTGTATTATTAATTACCCAGATTTAGCCATTCGGCACACACTACCTCTAAGGGGGAAAATTCACTCATCCCAGATACCTAAGGTATCAAAAGGATTGAGATCTGGTGGGACTCTTTTCGTGTTATCGAGCCCTAGGTGACTTGATATGGAGTATCTCCCAAAAATTTTCGTATACATCTGGACGTCGCGAGGAGTACAGCTTTCTGCATGGCCTTATAGAGATATTCATTTAGACCCAGCTGTTTTATGTTCTTTAGGAGGTTTTTGGGAATAACACCAATAGTAGATAGAATAATAGGTACTGTCTGGGCACTTTTCATTCTCCATTGTCGCCTGATTTGTTTTTCTAGATCTCTGTACTTGGCGATTTTTTCGTTGTATTTAACACGAAAATTATTGGTGTTGGGTATCGCCACATCAATAAGTGTTGTTTGTAAGCACAATACGGTCACAATATAGCTTGTAGTCATTTTCAAGCATTCTGTCAGGGACTTATTGATAATAAGGAAGATGGTCGGTTTGGAGAAGTCCCAGTTTGTGAGCTAGTTCTTGGTGAATAATCTTTCCTACTGAGTCATGTCGTTCTTTATAATCAGTACCGACAAACGTCTGGCAGCCACCGGTAAGATGTTGGATAGTTTCTTGGGCTTGGCATCAATATCGGCATTTATCGTTTTTGACTTGAGGATCTTTAACAATATATTTCAGGTAATTTTTAGTTGGAATAATCTGATCCTGAATGGCTATTAGGAAACCTTCAGTCTCGGGAAAGATCTTTACTGATATCAACCAATAGTTCGCCGCTGTATTGTCGACATATTTTTGCTGATCTCATTGAAATGTCGCCCATGCAGAGGTTTACTCATCCAGGTGCGCATTTGTTCTTGCTTAGTCAGATGGTTTATGCGCATTTATTGCTCCCTCAGTTTAAGCGGTATTGTATCATCTACTGCGCAAATTGCTCGATGTAAAGTCGATGTCTCAGCCTGTACCTGAAAATAAGTTCTTAAATTAGTAACCTGTTTATCCAGTTGCTCACCTATGTCCATAAGTCCTCTTCCCCCTTGATACCGCGGTAATGTTGTTTTCTCTACTGCACTGCGTAGATGATGTTTTTGCGCCTTTACAAAGATATCTTTTAAAATCATCGTTGACTCCATTCATACTCCTTCAGGTGAACATCCAACATAGAAATGGTAACTTCAGTAGAACTTAATGTTGCTATGTGATGGTTTGATTTAGCTTTCATACAAGAGTACTAAATTTACCAGGGCAAAGTAAGAGGTATATCGAGCATTGGTAAACAGTTTATATATAGCTAATCTGTCAAAACCCCCAGGACTTGTATAATAATCAAATCACACATTAAAATACTGTCGATTTATCGATATAGAGGGAGCATTCAAGAAACCTACGAAATAATCACAAGGCGATTTGACTAAGAGGAATAGATGAAACAAGCTGCAGGGCATACTGAGTATCGCTGTGATGTATGCAAAGTTATTGGTGTATATAGTGTCAGCAGCACAGGTAACCAGAGGTTGTCCACAGGGGTAGACTTAGCTCCTCTTTTGTGGGATTTAGTCATGGATGAGTTGGTAGCTAGACTTGGTACCGACAGACATCATGTCCTGGATGATATGGATCACCTGTCATCTTAGCTCACAGCAAATTTAATGGCACAGTGACAACATAATGCAACAGGCTCTGACTGTGGTTACAGAATGGACTTCAAATGTAGGGCTTAAAAAGTAGTGTAGCTTTAATATGAAGCATACAATGGTTTTGTAAAAAAAACGAGATGTTTTTGGGCGTGACCAAGTAGGGAAGCATGGCTTTATTCTCGTCTGCGCACCGAGTAATGGTTTTTAATTTATTTTATTTTATTCGATGCGATTAAGATAGGAAAGCTATGCTTCCAAAAAGTTCTGCTTTTATTAACCTACATAGTGATCATCCTAAAAATGTTTGAAATATTTTTTTATTAATGAAATATATCAAAAGAAATAGTTTGTAGTTTCGTAGATTTATAGTGCCTTGACTACTATAGATTGTCTCAAAGTGTCTTGTCTGTACAGGGTAAATGCACAACATCGATGCCATACTTCTTTGCAAACTTGTGTTGAGGGTAGCTTAAGTACTAATGCCCACTAACGACTCTGCCTGGCTTCTTTCTGTCAGTGGTTCTCGAACATAAATAATATTTCCTACAACATACTTGGGTTAAATTAAAATAAAATAGAAATTAAGAAATGCCTTTTATTTATGTCACACAAGCAGTTTGTTTTTAATTCTACAGTATGTGCTAGCGATACAAACTATTTGTTTATAGATTTAAATAAAATCAAATAAATTAAAACTAAAATATGAAGAAACATTTTATTTATGTATTGTTCCGTTCAAAAGTTAAGGGGGAAGGACTTTTAAAAACCACACTGTATATGTTGGCAGTAACAAAACGTAGAAATATCCGAAAATAAAACTAATAAATAAATTGAAAATAAAATAAGTCATTGTATTTAATTTCGTGTGTAAGTAATCGTAATTGTACACCATTATATTTAGTTCCTTTTTGTGTAAATCGCTGTCACATTTAGTTTCTGCTTAACTATTATCATCATCATTATTATCGTCACTGTCATCACTATCTCCCTTATTTATATTTATAATAATTGGTTCGATATCATCCAACAAATTGTCAATTTCCTACATTTTTTTTCTGTTGCTATTACGTGGTTTACGTAGTTTTTCCATTTCTCTGGCATAATGAGCTGGTACGATGCGTAATTTGCGTTGCGTCCAGCTATATACTGTTTCACTTCACTCCAAACCATTTCGATGGGATTGAGTTCACAGTGATAGGGTGGGAGCCTCAGAATCTTCACATTGTGCTTTGTGGCAATATGTTCTATTATGTACCTGTCATATTTTGCATTGAAGGCCTTGACTACATCAAGTAACTCGCATTTTAGGTAGTCGTCTTCAAAAAATAGGTCCTTTGAAGAAGCGATTCTTGAATATATTTTTTAGTGTTGAACTGTTGGGAATTTGTTCTGACTTCCTGCTGTGATAGGAGGCATTGTCCATTACCACAACAGTTTTTTCTGGCAAATTTAGCATTAAGTTATTTTCGAACCAAACTTCGAGGTCGGTCCATCCATTTCATCGTGGTAGTCCTGAGTATTTTTCTTTGCCAAAAACGTGAGCTCTGCTCCATCAACAAATCCACTGGTAGATCCTGCGTGCAATAAAACGAACCGTGCACCACGAGCTGTTGGAGCTATTAATCCTGTTGTCAGACCACGAACAAAAGCATCGCGATGAGATGTAATTGTTTTATCAACCCATTCTTTTTTCATACTGTACCCGATATTTACCCATGATTCATCCAAATACACTATGTTGTATCCTTCTGCACGGTATTTACGAATTGCGCGTAAATAACGATGACGCCACGAGATGATTTATGGTTTTTCAATCAAAATTGAATTTCTGCCACGTTTTATAAATACAAAATCCATTTCACCCAGCAAGTGATGTAGCGTGGCCCGTGAAAAGTTGGGCAAAGTTTCTTCGACATTTACAACAGCTAATATGGTGTTTATTGTTGGTGGTATGTTGTCACGAAAAAATTGATGAACTATTCCACGAATTTGGCCCCTGACACCTTCATCGTACTTGTTGTCACGAGAATTACCAACCTTTCGATTCTTGGGCCTGCTCTTTGGAGATTGTAATCCAGGAGATTCCTGTCGTATGCGAAACAGAGTCTTTTCGCAAACACCACTCATTTCTAACACTTTCCTAACTACACTTGATACAGAATTATTGTTATCTTGATAAAGATGATAATTCATAATATTCATTAGTATCTGCTTCTCTGAAAGTTTCAAAGCTTTTCCACGTTCCATTGAACAATTTCCTCCATTTTGCGGTAAAAATTCGGCGTCAAATATAACAATAGCCAACAACAAAAAATAACAGAACAGTAACAGTACATCCAAGATGGTACAAATAATCAACTCGAATATGTTTACGCGTTCCGAAGAACAAATAAAGACTAATTAAGGCCCTGGATGTATCAAGCTTTTAAACATATTCTGTACAAGAATTACTCTAATTGCTTCTTAACTACTGAATAACTCGAAGAAAGTGTTTGAAAAACTTTGAAACAAATGCTTATTTAATGCACATTTTATTATACTACTGCTACTCATAAAAGATAAACGTTGATAAGTTACTATTAGAAACAAATAATGTACTAATACTATAGTATTATATAAAATTATTAGCAAACGATATTTGTAAATTACATAAAATTGTACGTGATGACTTATTGAGAACTCCTGGTTTATTCCGTTTATTTTGAAAGATATTCAATAGAGAACGCCATCGCTCACTGCATAAAACTGGCAATTTCTTGGCGAAATTCTCATAAGGTTGGCATTGCATATCTTCCCGATACAGACTAGTCACTTAGAGACAAAGTATAGTAGTAAAAAAATGTATTTCCACTTATTTCTTTATTATTACAAATTGTTACTAAATTTATTGCAGATATTACGTTCAATATTTGGATAATATTGAATGAATACTGAATGTAAAAGTCTAGTAGTCTAGTAAAAAACTCATTAAATCATTTTTATTGACAGGATCCAGAAGTAGCCAAGGCGTTCCAAGATATCTCAATGAACCCTTCCAACTTCGCCAAATATCAATCTAACCCCAAGGTAATGAATCTTGTCACTAAACTTTCAAGTAAATTCGCCGGATCGGGAATGAATATCCCTGGTTTTTCGGGTGGAGCTGGATTCCCAGGCGCAGGCATGGGATTCCCTGGTGCAGGAGGCGGTTTTCCAGGTGCAGGAGGCGGCTTCCCCGGCGCAGGAGGTTTTCCTGGCTTTCCAGGTGGATTTCCCGGAGCAGATACAACTCCAAAACCAGAACCTAAACAGCCCGACGACGATAATCTAGATTAAAGTATTCCTTGTTTTGTTTTATATAATATTCTACTTATGTTGTGAATTAAATTTTGACACATATGAAGATTTCGGTAGATTTTTTTAGTTTCTTTTTTTTTTATTCAATTTACTGTTCTATAGTAATGAATGATTTTGTTGGTTGCTAATAAATAATAAAAATATCGTATAATTCAATTGGTATTTCTGGGGTAAATGATCATTAAGTAATCACTATCATGAAAAAAAGTATTGTGTACAAGCCATGCATATATTCTATATTGCATATGTATTATTTGTATGCCTTCTGCTAAAATATTAGCGATTCCTCATGGAATTGTTCCTTTCTATTCTTACTTATGCTCTTTGTTTTCAGTAGATATTCTTTGTAATCACATTTCGTGTCTTAGTTCATGTGTTATATTCTTTATTATGTTTTTATTTAATAGAAGCATTTCTTTTAACAACATACATGGCAGTCGTATTTTTCACCAGGAAAATGTTACACCACCAGCTCAGTAGGGTTTAATTTAATTAAAATTTTTCTTCTCGAATGTTCTTTTACGCCTTATTATTGTTGATGTGGTTGAAGACTGAATCTGACAAATATCTCATGTTATACATATTTTTTACTTAGTGATAGTCCTAGATTACCAAAATTTTAAGTTGCAGTTTTAGAGTTGCTCCACAATGCATTCTTATAATAAATAAACACCTATCCTTTTTACTAGACAACTTTCAAATACGAAATATTGTATGTAAGGTTTTGAGAACCGTTTCTTTAATATAAAAATTGTCATGTTTCATATTGCTATTTTTTGTTTTATAGAACTAGTTCTGGTTTGATAATTAATAAATTAATTGTAAGGCTGATGTTAATTCACATTCAATTTATTAGAGTTAGATTTTCAATAATTTTGTTAAATAAAAACTTAAGTAAAACCACAATGTCTTGTTTTCTATTACACTGATACATTTATAAATACACTGTGTCAATTTTAAAACTTTCAATGGACTATATCTCATGAACAAAAGCTGATATCGAAAACTGCTTGAAACCGTTTCTAGGATAGTAAGGGGGAACTAAAATGACTTGAAAGAGAACTCACCCCCATCAAAACCCTAGGCCCCACTCACCACAACCAAAAAAAGTTTATATTGCAAACCCCTACTTGTGATACATCATTGAAAAGACTATAAAAAATATCATCCTATTTGAGACCTAACCTAACCTAACCTTTATAATTTTACGAAGATACTTTTTAAAATGTGGCACCCGTGCTGTATAATAATTCTGCAGCTAAAGTGCCAGTCGGACCCTCTAATCAATTTAAATATTTTTACAAAGCCTGGTAGTAAAATGTAAGCGACATTTTCAATACCTCTCTGATGATCTCAAATATATGCTGAAACATGTTTATGAAGGATTGGGTTCTAAGTTCTCTAAATCAGGGGCAATTGCAGAAACATGTTTATCAGTGTCCAAAGCAACCTCCTAAAAGATTATAGGAGAAACATCTTCTTCTAGACAGGGGAGAAAGCATTGTGCAAATTCAGACAAATAGAACCGCACTTAAAGGAACCTATAATCGAAACAATATACAAAATGGATGCGGCTAATATTTTTCCAACTATTGAAAGCCTTCGAAGTGAACTGGTTTGAAAGGATATTCTCGCTATTCAGCAACAACACTTAGATGATTTCTTAAAACCCATAATTTTAAGTAAATAACTATAGACAAGCACCAAACACTAATGGAAAGTACTAGAATAATTATTTCTTTCAGAAACAATTCTATCAGACAGATAACTAAGTATCAAAAAATGAAACGAAATGTTGTTTATTTCGATGAGACCTGGTGCGATACTCATGACAGGACAGAGAATTATAATTTTACACTGCGGTGGAGAAAGTAGATGGATCGATTATGTATTATTAATATCTGCAAAAAATACGCGTCTCTAGATTATCATGAGGATTTGGAAAGTTCTTCCGAGATTACCTAAATATAGTCTGATTGTCATGGAAATTCATAGTGTGATTATCATATCATTCAAAATTAATGAGAAAATTCCAAGTATTACTTGAAACAAATTACAAATTCAAGAATTTTTATTTGAGAAAGAGTTGTACTTTGAGGCATCATATAATAAGAAACAATTGTTAGAGGTTGTTTATAGTAGACAGTACCAGAAGGAATATGTTGTTGATAACTCTACTCGCAGTAATAGGATACCGTGCTTAGACTTCCTCCCTACTATTATACATTGAACTCGCTAGAGTTAATATGGACTCAACTTGAAGGAAATATAACAAGAAACGTGGCTCCTAAATTTTCGTCTACTGTTCTCCAGTTAATTAAAAGAGAAGTAACAAAGATCACAGCAACCAACTGGAAGAATGTAATGAAACATGTAATCGCAGTGGAAAATAACTATGTTAAATATTTACCAGCATTAAACAAATTAAGTATACATTTAGAAGATACGAGTACTACTAGTGATAACAGTGATTCTGAGTAGATTAGTAAACACTTCTTACTTCGAACCAGGTGTTAGTTGAAACCTTTATTTTTATTGTAATTATAGATATTCTCGTTTTGCTTATATATCTTTGAAAATAAGGTACAAACATACTTCATGATAGAACAAAAACGTACAAAGTATTTAATTTAAAATAGTCAAAGTACAGGTTAGGTTATTATAAAATACCTGCTATATATATATATATATATATATATATATATAATATATATATATATATTATATATATATATATATATATATATATATATGTATATATACAGTATAGGTAAAAGTTTATGCTCGGTATGTACCTTACATGAGATGGAGTGAGAAACAACTGTTTAAAAAGAGAGAGATATATTAGGTCCGCCTTTTATATCCCCGAACATAAATAGGGAAGTTCAACGTTGCCAAACTTATTGGTTTTATTTAACCTGTTGTCTTTTTCGCATTTGAACAACGCTCCAAGATAATGAAATTTGGGCGAAATGGATTTAAATTGCAGCTTACTGTTTTTTATTGGGAATATGCCACAATTTTACTCTACAATAAGTGTAATATAACATTTTGATATAAATCTGATTTCTTTCTCCATCATTTAATGTATTTTTATTATATATTACATTAAAAATACATGCACATCACATACTAATAATTTATGTCCTTCCTATGTTAAAAAAGTATCCGTTAAAAATTATCCGGATACTTGTATCCGAATACATTTTTAAATGAAAGTATCCGTACTGTTTTAAAAAGTATCCGGATACATTTTGAGTATCCTTATCCGGTATCCGGATACTTTTTTTCAGTATCCGACCCAACTGTGATACCACCGCCATATTCTTATCATCGTAATCCACGCCTACCTACGCCGTTTTTAATATACACGTTAATATGCTCATAGCTTCTCCATAGATTCTAACTCGATGTGTTAGATGGAGGTCAAGAGAACAGAATTTGACAGTTTGCACTCTAGCAACGGGGTATTACTTATTGCTGCTTACAAAAGAACCAGACTAACATTTGCACATGAACACATCAATTGGAAAAAGTATTGTTTACGTATAAGTATAGAATAACAATTTATGGTAAAGATGGTTTAAATAAGGTCTACAGAAGGGATGGAGAACATTATGTTGCCTGCACTCGGTCACACCGGGTTGCTTTTGGTGGTGGCTCAGTAATGTTTTGGGCAGACACGGATTTTTCTTCTGAGACACACACGGATTCTCGTCTTGATTGACACAGCACACAGATATATAACAGAAATCGTAGGTACATCATGTGATGGCACATGTTGAGTTTATTGGCAATGGTTTTCTGTTAATGTAAGATAATGCGAGACCACACCCGGCAATGACTGCATCAGTATCTTGAAGATATTGGTATTTCAAAAATGGACTGGCCTGCTCAAAGTCCAGACCTTAATCCTATTGAGGCTTATATGATATGTAACATAGAGCCTTCTCAAAAGGTGTGTAAGACGTCGAATGTCTGCTCCAACAACATGTGAATGGCTTCAAGAGACCACTTATTGAATGCCACTATAAAGGGCATTCAAAACGTGATCAATTCTATGAAACCGAATGGAATAACTATGAAACAAGTGATACTTGCCTTTTGTTGACCCTATAAATTTCAATTATTGCTATAACTGTAATGGTATATCTAAATTTTCAATACATTGATTTTTTCAAATTTTTCCTTGTTTTCTATTTGTTACTAATGATAATGTCGGTTACGTGCAACAAAGGTAACTGACTCAACACACAATACATTTCATTTTATATAAATATGAAAAAAAAGAAAATTTTTTAAAAATATTGAGGGTGGCCCGTTTTCTCTGACATGTTATATTATTTATATAAACTGTATGCCATTAAACATGCGAAATATAAAAATACGAACCCTAATTTGTTGAATAATGTAATAAAAAGCAATGATAAACTGTTTGTCTTAAAACGTTTAATATAACATAGTGTAATAAACATTTACAAAATTATTACATAGGTACGTTAAACATAATTATAATTTGTATAAAGCTATGTCTATTTATACCAAAATATATAACAGATGAGATTCCGAGTTGGCTTATCATATTAATTAAAAGAAATAGGTACGTCAAAAGTTTTTTACGATTACAAAATTAATTTTTTCTGCACTAACAAATAAGTCAATTAATGACTAGATGGCATGTCAAGTAATGACATGAACTACATACATTTTTATATAAAAGAATGCTCTTTAAGTGAGATTCTCTTAACTTAATACTATTTAATTAACAAGTTTCTCAATTAAGGGTAAGATAAAATGAAAAGTGAAAAATCGTGTTAATGTGACATTATCAACAACAAATGTCTTTTCACTATGGACTAATATCGTCAAGTTTCCGGAAATTGTGTCTCAGGCGAAAGAAATTCTTTTGTTCAATTTTTTTAAGATATCTTCAAATAATATTTCGAGGAGAAGTACATATTAAATTTTCGATAAGTTTATTAATTTTCAGTGAATCGAACACTATTTATTTCCATTTAACTGTCTCTTTTTGAATAGTTATTGCTTGCCAACCTCATAAAAATTAATATTTTCGAAATCCTTAAATGCACTCATTTGTTTAGAGATACCTATACTCTTTTTTGCACGTTAAGAACATGATTAAATTACATCATTTAATATTATTATCCTCATACTTTTCCTTCCATACAAAAACTTGGAGGGGTCAGTGCCAAAAGTAGCTAATTAAATAAACTAAAATAACTAAATAAAAGTCCATATTTTTGTATAACTGAGCTTTAGTGGCGACATGTATATAAAATCATGTACTACTGACAGCAGCTCGAGAATCTCACAATACGAGATCGGATATTCGTAGAGATACCTGAACCCTAATCTATCAGTCACTAAACTACATGAACATTTCAACACACGTTCTGATAATAAAGACTCACATGGGTTTTTTGCGAAGGTAGTTAGTGAGGAATCTAACATTTTTTTGGATATCCAAGAAAATATATATGTCATACCTGTACAAAATGCCTAGATACTATA